GGGCAAAAATGCAGCTGTCCCTCCAAAGTACTGACTTTGTGCTGAGTCATTTACACATCTAATCTCATCCTCTCAACCACTCTGAGGCAGGAACTGTTACCTCCCACTGCGTAGTGAGAAACCAAGGTGTAAACTAACGTATCCTCCTTTATGGTTATACCTGTGCTTACTTTACAACCTTTCTCTGTTCTGTGCTTCTGGCATCTCTTCGGGAGGCAAAGTGAAGCCACTAAGAGGCAGTAGGAGTGTCACAGCTAAGAACCTGAGAACTCAAGCACATGATCATAAAGATCAAATCACTATTCTTTGGGCCGAGAGACACTCAAACTGCATTTAAATCAGGAAGCCCGTCCAGCGGTTACAAATCCTGGCCATTTAGTTGTTAGGTGGGAGGTCAGCCTCCATGAGGCAGGGGAGAGGCCTGCTCCTTGCTTCACTGCTGCTCATGAATAAGGCAGCTGAGAATAGCGGTCAGTCAGTGGTTAGGAGAAGGCAGGGTGTAAATCTCTAGGCATGGGAGTGTAACCTGGGCAAGGTGGCCATTCCAGAGCATTCATGGCAGAAAAAATAAAGACCACAGCTCCCCGCTCTTAGGAAGGTGCTGCATAAGAGGACAAAGGGGCATTTGTCAGTCAGGGAAGAGTGTAAAGGGCAGTTCCTGCATAGAGCACAGGATGTGCAAAGGCAGTGACAAGTCTTCATGATGATGAAATTCCCTGAGACCCCAAAATAATTATTATCAGAGAAACACAAGCCACTGTGGAAATGGCTCCCTTTGGTATCAGCAGCTGACCAGAGGTTCAGGGTTCCCCAGGTGACTCTGCTTTCCCAGTCATCATTGTTAAAAAGTAAGTCCCAACTCAATGATACAGAGCCACTGAGGCCACTTCTGCAAGGGGCCATTTCTGCCCTTCCCAGCCATTTGCCAGGTTAAAGTTCTCGGACCTGGTAACAGCAAGTGGCAGGCATCAAGTAGCATTTCCTGTTTGGGAGGCAGTGCACGTGACACACAGCAGAGGGGAACCGGGCAGGAGCCAACAGAACCAGGAGAGCTTAACGGTGGCCCAGATCCCACTTGGGGTCTGACAACAAGGCACTCTGGGTGAATGGGGACATTTTAGAAACGCTGACATTCCCAGGAGACTGGCCCAGCCCAGGGTGGAAAGCAATTTTAGATGCTCTGGCTACTATTTTTGGAGCCTGAATCACATTAATTCACTGCTGCTCCAAATGGTGCACAGCCAGGGAGACCTTCAGGGAGCCCAAGGGCTGTTTCCCAGCCCAACGCTGGTGCAGCCGTCCAGAATCGGCAGGGTGGTGCCCACTCCTTCCTGCTCTGGGTCATTCTGCCTTTCCTATTCTTGTGCCAGTACACAATGTCCAAAGCCCCCAACACCTCCAAATAGAATCCTTCATATGAGGGGATGAACCCCTACCTTAGGATGTGACTTGAGGCTATTTCAGGTATATTGTGGAGCTTGGACTCTGGATAAATCTGGAGTTAGGAGAAGAGGGACTCAGGCAAGAGCTACCCAGAAATGTTCCTGGCCTTCCCTCCTCACAGTTGGCTGAATCTGAGTCAGTCAGGGAGCCAGCACTGTGCAGGGAGCAATCACTTTTCTGTTGAGCTTCAATTCCCCTTCATGTGCCTGTCAGCAGCAGAGAAGCCACAAGACAGGGGAAGGGGCAATATGTGATGCCTTTGTTGGGCCAGGTCTGCATGGGATGAAAGGAGAGTGGAACAGAATGTGTTCTGGGAAGTTCCCAGCTGAAAGCCCAGAGGAGCGGTGCTGGTGTGCTTATAATAAGCCACATTGCTCTCTGTTTCCAAAGCCAGTCTCTCCCCATGAGAGGGAAAGAGTACTGGAAAACTCTGGACTGAGGGGTAAATCCTGTCCTTCAGCCTCATTTTATAGAGACTTCAGGGTAAGAACTGAAAGGTGACACCCCCATGTGTGCCCATACTTGTAAAAACACGTTTATTTGAATATCTTTGCTAGCAGAATTCTAAATGCCTCCAATGAGGAATGGTGCTCTCTACAAACATGATTCTACCTTTGGGAATGTTGTGTATGTTGAGTGTGGTGTGGGGTGTGTTGCATCTGTGCACTTCTGGAGCATCTTGAAACACTGCACCCCAGCTCTTGCTCTCTGTACTTACTTGCAAATTGCCTGCTTACTGCTGTCTCTGACCTCTGAGCTCAGTGCCCTGGCCTACCTGGTTCACTACTGCACAGAACTTGGCACTTGGTGCTCAGTAAATGTTCGTTAGATGGAAGAACAGATGAGTAATCTGTACCTTCATCCCAGTGAGTCTGTCTTTCTTTTGGGGTGTAGTCCTGTCTCCATGTCTCCGTCTGTCTCTCTGAGCCCGTGTCCCTGTCCCTTCATCTCTCTTTCTCTCAGTCTTCTTATTGCTTCCTCCTCCTTCATCTCTCCTCACACGACCCCATCCTAGACAGATAATCTATCTCTTTTCCTCAGCCTGTTTTCTTTTCTTTTTTTTTTTTTTTGAGACGGAGTTTTGCTCTTGTTACCCAGGCTGGAGTGCAATGGCGTGATCTCGGCTCACTGCAACCTCCGCCTCCTGGGTTCAGGCAATTCTCCTGCCTCAGCCTCCTGAGTAGCTGGGATTACAGGCACGCGCCACCATGCCCAGCTGATTTTTTGTATTTTTAGTAGAGATGGAGTTTCACCATGTTGACCAGGATGGTCTTGATCTCTGGACCTCGTGATCCACCTGCCTCGGCCTCCCAAAGTGCTGGGATTACAGGCTTGAGCCACCGCGCCCGGCCCTGTTTTCTTACATTACGTATACTCAGCAATTTTAGAGATTGAAGGCACCTTATAAATTATCGAGCTTAATTTCTAATGTTTATGTTTGAGGAAGCTATGTCCAGAGAGGTCACAAGGCACTAAGGACCAAAGCTAGCTTCCTTCTCTTTTTTTTAAATGGAAGTTAGAAAAAAAAATGTTTTTAACAGCCTTGTTAAAATATAATTCACATGCTATATGACTCACCTACTTAAAGTGTACAATTCAATGGATTTGAGTATATTCAGAGAGTTATGCAGCCATCGTGGCTATGTAATTCCAGAATATTTTTATCACCCAAAAAGAAACCTCATGCTTATTAACAGCCATGTCTCATTTCCCCTATCCCCCTAGCGCTGAGCAACCATTAATTTACTTTTCATCTCTACAGCTTTCTCTATTATGGGCATTTTATTTAAATAAAATCATATGTGTGGTCTTTTGTGATTGGCTTCTTTCACTTACCATAATATTTTCAAGTTCATCCTTTCACTGATTTCAACTTTCATAATATATCATTCCTCATTCCTTTTTTTTTTTTTTTGAGACAGAGTTTCACTCCGTCACCCAGGCTGGAGTGTAAGTGGCATGATTTCAGCTCACTGCAACCTTCGCTTCCTGGGTTAAAGCAATTCTTGTTCTGCGGCCTCCTGAGTAGCTGAAATTATAGGTATGCGGCACCAAGCCCAGCTAATTTTTGTATTTGTAGTAGAGACAGGGTTTCACCATGTTGGCCAGGCTGATCTCAAACTCCTAACCTCAAGTGATCCACCTGCCTCAGCCTCCCAAAGTGCTGGGATTACAAGCATGAGCCACCGTGCCTGGCTCTTCATTCCTTTCTATGTCTGAATAGATTCTATTGTATGAATATACTGTATTTTATTCATCCATTAATTACTTTTTGGGCATTTAGTTTGTTTCCACATTTTGGCTATTATAAGTAGTGCTGCTATGAATATTGTATACATGTTTTTATGTGACTATACATTTTCATTTCTCTTGGGTACATATCTAGGAGTAGAATTGGTAGATTATGTGGTAATCCTATGTTTAAACTTTTGAAGAGCTGTTAAATTGTTTTCTAAAGTGGTTATACCATTTTATGTTTCTACCAGCAATATATAAGGGTTCTAATTTCTTCACATCCTTGTCAACACTTGCTGTTACCTGTCTTTTTAATTTTAGCCACCTTAATGGGTGGAAAGTAGTATGTCATTGCTGTTTTGATTTGTAGTTCCTTGATGATTGATGATGTTGAACATCTGTTCATGTGCTTATTGGCTATTTGCATATATTCTTTGAAGACATGTGTATTCAAATATTTTGACCATTTTAAAATTGTGTTATTTGTCTTTTTGTTATTGAGTTACAAGAATTCTTTATTTTGGATACAAGTCCTTTTTTAGATATGCTATTTGCAAATATTTTTCTATTCTGTTGGTTATCTTTTTACTTTCTCGATAGCATCATTTTCAATACAGAGGTTTTTTTATTGTGATGAAGTCCAATTTATTTACTTTTTCTTTTGTTGCCTGCACTTATGGTGCTGTATCTAAGAAGGCATTGTCTAACCCGAGGACACCAAGATTTACTCACATGCTCTTATCTAAGAATTCTACAGTTACAGCTCTCCAATTTAGATGTTTTGAGTTAATTTTTGTGTGTGGTATAGGAAGGGGTTTAACTTTACTCTTTTACGTGTGGATAGTCAATTGTTCCTGTTGAAAAGACTTTCCCCATTGACTTGTCTTGGCATCCTTATTGAATCAATTAACTATAAATGTAAGGGTTTAGTTATGAACTCTCAAGTCTGTTCCATTGATGTATATGTCTCTTCTTGCATAGTGTAGAGTATTATACTATATTACAATAGTTTTATAGTAAGATTTAAAATTGGGATGTGTAGATAATATTCAATATTTTTCTCCTTTTTAAAATTATTTTGGTTATTGTTGGTTCCTTGTATTTCCATGTGAAATTGAAATGAGGTAGCATTCCATCTATTTAGGTCTTTAATTTCTTTCAACAATGTTTCATATCTCTCAGAGTAAAAGTTTTGCATTTATTTTGTTAAGCATATTCCATTTATTTATTTTTTTATTTATTTAAAAAAGACAGTCTTACTCTGTCGCCCAGGCTGGAGTGCAGTGATGTGATCTTGGCTCAATGAAATCTCTGTTTCCCAGGTTTAAGTGATTCTCATGCCTCAGCCTCCCAAGTAGCTGGGACTACAGGTGAGTGCCACCATACCCCACTAATTTTGTATTTTTAGTATAGATGGGGTCAAGCTGGTCTCAAACTCCTGGCCTCAGGTGATCCACCCACCTTGGCCTCCCAAAGTGGTGGGATTACAGGAGTGAGCCACCGCACGTGGCCAGCCGTTGGGTGTATTCCTAAGTATTCATGCATTTGATAATTGTGAATGGAACTGCTTTGTTAATTTCATTTTTTGATTGTTCATTGCTAGTGTATAGAAATACAATTGCTTATGGTATCTCAATCATGTATCCTGCAGCCTTGCTGAACTTGTTTATTAGTCCCGGTAGCTTTTTAGTGGATTTCTTAGGATTTTGTATATATAAGATCATATTATCTGCAGATAGAGATAATCTTACTTCTTCAAAGGTGGAATTCTTGGGATCTAGTCTAGAGAATTTTTATTTCATTCGAAATGTTCTGAAAAGAGTTTTGTGGTTGCCCTCAGAAAATATCAAAGCAATTCTTCTCCAAAATGTATTGATCCCAATTTCAAAGATTAAGTGTTTGAAACAGACTTGAATTTAATCTTTGATATGGCTGAGAGATTCTATCAATAGCAATATTAGTTTGTCAGGGCTACCATATTAAAATATCACAAGCTGGGTGGCTTAAACAATGGAAATTTATTTTCTAACATTTCTGAGGATGTCCCAGATCAAGGCATCAGCAGGTCTGGTTTCTTCTGCGGCCTCTCTCTTTGCTTGTAGCTGGCCACCTTCTCTTTGTGTCCTCATACGGTCTTTCCTCTGTGCAGGCACATCCTTGGTGCCTCTGCATCCAAATTTCCTCTTCTTATAAGGACACCAGTCGGATTGAATTAGGGTCTATTATAATGGCTTCTTTACACTTAATCACTTCTTTAAAGGTCCTATCTCCATATACAGTCACATTCTTATGTACTGAGGGTTAGCATTTTGACATAAGAATTAGGAGGAGGATTAGGGGGCACAATTAAGCGCATAACAATAGCCTTCTTGGTTTTCCTTTGAGAGATCTGATCTCTGGTTAGTTGCAACTAGTGAAGCCAGAATTTGTTAAATAACCCATTCACCAAGAGCACCAAATGACAGTGATCTACAGCCAGATAGAAGGCACTGCCTATTTTCACTGAGCTAAAGGATCCTTGTGCTTGGTTTCGCATGATCCTAAGCTCATTTTAGTCAAGGTCTACTCTAAAGCCATGCCAGGGAGGGAGGATGACCAGCCATCCGACTCAGACATGCACAATAACACCTAAAATTTTTATTTACACTGCCTGCTTTAAAGCACATCCAGATCCTGTTGTGAAAACAGTATGGTGACATAGTTGTATGAGGAGGCCCTCTGTGAAATTAGCTTTATAAAGTTCTCAAATACAAAATCTCATTCTAATTTTCTCCTCTGTTAGGCTAACGGTTAGTTTTGGAAGCTCAAGATGTAGCTACTCCTTGCTCTGCAATTCTTGCAATAGCCAAAAACAAGATGCTGCTGATCTCAACTGGTTATGTCAGTGAAACTGAAAAGCAAGATTCCCATCCCTGTCATCCAGACTGAGCAGTCATCCCACCCCGACTTGTGGAGCTGTCTCTCTCCCTCTTTCCTCTGCTCTCTTTTTCAGCATTTATTTTTAACTCTCTTGGCCTCTGAGTGTTTTTATTGCCATCTGGCCACAAGCCCTTTTAGGAAGCAGGCAGTTATAAATCACCTGCTGGGAAATCAATAAAAGTCAGCTCAATGCACAGTTACACGGATTTGCCCCCAGATAACCAGGAACCTGCAGGCTCAGTATTTTATCCCATGGGGGTGTCTGCAAGGAGGGTGAAGGGTAAGGGGGGAATTACTTTCTGAAAGAGGGTGTGGGCTGCTGCTCCCAAAGGCTCAAGGAAGGGATGGCCTTTGGCTTTTATCCATGTGCTTTTCATCTGGCCTCAGGGGAGAGCTGAGTATTTCCATTTCATTCAGCACAGTTTTCCACATCATGGCATTTTCTTATCTTCTGAAAATCTACTTCAGGGCTAAAGTATCTTCTTTAAGCCTCAAGGAAAGGCAGTAGGAATGAGTTGCTGTATTTTCTTGGGAGGACAGGGAATGTGTTACTGCAGCATAGAGGCGTGGAGGTAGGAAGACTCTCCATCAAGCTGCCTGTTGCCAGGCTACTGTTTTCACTCACCACGAGTTGGTTCATCCCTCTGGCTAGAACTCCAGGGAGTCAAGTCCGAAAGTTGCACAAAAGCTGAAAGCTAGGCCCAGAGAGGCGGGTGACTGGCCCAAGGTCACAAAATGGTTGCACAACCAGCTCACAAAGAAATGGTCTCACTGCTTGGAAATCCTAGTTCTCTTCTCAAAAGGAGCTTTGGTCAGGAAATACAAATTCATGGATAGTTGAAACTAAACAAAATATAACTCTTCAGTTAAAAAAATACCAATCCATTAGTTCATTTATTAAAAACGTGTCCACCAAATTGCCCCCTGTAAGGACCATGGGAACCCTCAGACCATCCATTTGTACACTTTTGGATAATGGGAATATACTAACCTTTGGAAAGCCAATTTCCTAGGAGGGGTTCTTCCTTCCCTCTCTATCAGGGGAAATATTATAGCTGCAAAGCACAAGAGTCCTGGGTTTTGGGTGGTTTGAGGCAGTGAGACTATTGTACACTGAAGCCAGGAAGGAGGCAGGCTCAGAGCTGGGTCTGCTGGCACTTACCCCATCTTCCCATAGAGGCTTTCAGGAGATGTGTGCATTTAAACTGGGTTACAGAATTATTTGCTTCAATTTAACATATAACAAGCCCTAATTATATACCAAATGTTAGAGATACAAAGATGAGAAAGACTTGGTTTTGAAGGATGAATAGGAGTCTGCCATGAAGATCCTTGAGTTGCTGTTAGCCAAATGGGGGAGATCAAACTAAAAACAAATAATGGCAATTATGTTAGAGCAGCGTTGGCTAACTTTTCTGAAAAAAGGCAGATAGTAAATATTTTGGCTTTGTAGGCCATACAGTGTCTGCCTCAACTACTCAATTGCCCTCATAGCATGAAAACGGCCACAGACAATATACAAGTGAATGGTTGTGGCTGTATTTTAATAAAAATTTATTTATAAAAACTATCAGTTGGTCAGATTTGGCCCAAAGGCCACAGTTTGTTGAACTCTGTATTAGAGGAATGCCATCACAATACAGGAATAATAATAATAAAAGTTACCATTCTGTTAGTAATTTTGTGCTAGACACTGTATATGTAATTTACAGATATTTACATACTTTTCAAATTTGAGTATTTTTCATAACAATTTGTGAGGACATTGAAATTCAAGAGCCAAAGTCATAGAGCTAGAAAGTGGCAAACAAGGTTAAAGTCTACGTTTCCAACTAAACAATTTAAACTGCTAAAAGGAAATGGGGCAGAGGGTTTTATCTAGTGATGATCATGAGGTGGCTCCTGAAGGATGAGTAGGATTTTTCATGGAGACAGATGTGGGGGATGGCTTTTCAGTCAGGGGGAGTGGCACTGAGGTTTGACAGCACATGGAATATTCTGGAAGGTGGAGCATTAGTTGAGGCTGGGGTACAGGATACCTTGGTGCTAGTGGCAGGAGAAAAAAGTCAGTCTCAGAGCAGAAAGTTTTGCGTGAGTGCCCAGGAACCTGGACTTCATCTGTGGATCAGGGATTCTCTAGCTGTAGTCTTTGGATCAGGGGCTTTTAGCCATGCAGATTCCCAGGCCCTATACCCAGATATTCTGATTCAGTCGATCTGGGAAGGACCTAGGAATCTTCATTTTATCACACACCTCAGATGCTTCTAGTAAGCAGCCAGACTTGGGAGTCAGCATACAGAGAGCCACTGTAATGTTTGACTTGAGGGAGGCCTGCAACCACAGCTATGTTTTAGAATTCCAGCTGTGTGGAAGATGGATTACTTCATAGGAGAACCACCCTCCACCCACCCCAGGAGTCCATTTTCTGGTTAGTTATCACCCTCTCTGATCTGGACATGGAGAGTGAACAAGGCTGCAGGATGGCTAGATTTTGATAGGAGAGAATTGAGAGGTAACTAAGGCAGAAGAGGATATCAGAAAAGCATTGGGTAGCTGCTCCCTCCCTCCTGTCCTGGGGCCCCTGCCCAACTTGGGCCTTCCGTGCTGACCTGCAGGCTGAGCAGAGCAGAGCTGCTGCTCCCAAGCCTGTCCCAACCACAAAGCCTGCCAGCCATACTCCAGCCTGCATTCCAGCCCAGGACCCTAAAGGGCCTTTGTTTTTCCCAGACTCTGCCAACCCTAGAGGAAGGGCCCTGTGTAGGGTCTCCAGAAGGAGAGATCAGAGGACAAGATGAAAAGCCAGGAGAACAATGTTCCAGGCCTTTGGGGCTTCTAGGATCCAGGGTGACTCCAAATTAGGTGCCTTTGTTAAAAAAAAAGAAAAGAAAAGAAAAAACCTTCTGTTCTATAAATTTATGTTGTCATATTAAAAATATCTGCATTCCTCTAAGTTCTATCATAGCATTCATGAAAAAATCATTTTATAACTAGGAAATACCAACTTTGCTCACAGGAAAGAGGGGTGCCTGGGCTGATGTAAGGAGCCTGGGGGCCACCCTGGGAGAATGTTCCCCAAGGTGCAGGAGCTCCACGCAGGCATTGGCAATATTGCTAGGGTGATCCCTGAAAACCCTGGCAAACCCAGTGATTTCCCAGTGCCTATGCTCCTTGTGGGGCCTGGGCAGGGAGGGGGTCTGCTCACCTGCTTGCCCACTCACAGCCCAGAATAGCCCCTGCAAAACTGCTGAGGCATTTCCCGGCAGGCCCTGGTCTTAACCTGCCCTCAGAGCTCTCTTTACTCAGACTTTTCTGAAAACAAACAAACAAACAAAATGCTTCATGAGAATGACTCACTTTAACCCCTTGGATGAACTCTATGCTATTTACCAGTTAATTTAAGTAGAGCTATTGCACATATAACAAACTGCAGGTTAACCGAGAACATATGTAA